AACCAGATCAGTGTCTTCATGATCATCAAGACATTCAAGCAAGTCTGCAGCAAGCGTATCTCCTTTGGAGGCTTGTGCAAAGGCAGAAGCAGCACTGACTAGAGCCACATATGTACAAAAGGAGTTAGAAGTGAGAGTGAAACAAGATCAACTTATAGTAGAGGAGACTCGTTTAGAGGCTACACTGAATGCTCTCCATCGTGAAAGTGAAGCAGAAGCTGCTGCAGCTGAGGCATTAGTGTTTGAGGCAGCTGCAGACACCGGGAAAATAGAACAGCAATCTGAAAACAAAGGGCCTCATTCTTCACATGATTCATTGCAAAGGACTAAGAAATATGCAGAAGATCAGCATAGATATAATAAAGAGATTCAGATACCAATGCTTGCAGAAACCTCTGTTCCTAATACTGATCACAAGCCGCCAGCTCCATTCTGTGTTGATCAGCCACAGCCCAATTCCTTCAATCAGAATAGTCCTTTTCAGGACTTGCCAGAGAGACAGCGTCCTACTCGTGTTCTCACTCACACTGAGACACCCCTCAGCTGCCACACCATGCATACTCATGCTGAAACAGTCAAACATGCAGGCGGGAACGTACCACAGTTTAATTCCGCATTGCATGATGCATCCACTCTAAGAAACAACATTAAATTGACAAGCCACTCACCCTCACATCACAATGAGTCCCATTCTGCTCACTCAAACGTATTTGAACTCGCAAAGTTCCTGACTCGCCGTGATCTTCTGACAGGTGGGCTCTCAAGGTTCAATGATAAGCCTGAGAACTATTGGGCATGGAAGTCTAGCTTTTGCAATGCTATTGAAGGACTCGATCTTAAGCCTAGTGAAGAACTCGACCTGCTCATAAAGTTGCTTGGCCCTGAATCTACTGAGCACGCAAGACGCATTAGGTCGGTTCACATCAATTATCCAGACATTGGTCTCAGCATGGTCTGGAAACAGCTAGAGGAATGTTATGGCTCTGCCGAAGCCATGGAGGCAGCGCTCTTTAACAAACTTGAACATTTCCCAAAGCTGTCTACCAAGGACCCTCAACGTCTCAGAGAGTTAGGAGACCTACTTCTTGAGCTACAGGCAGCCAAAGCAGAAGGTTATCTGCCTGGCTTGACCTTCCTGGATACTGCACATGGCCTCAGCTCCATTTTAGAATAACTCCCATATAGCCTACTAGAGAAATGGATGTTGCAGGGAACTCGTTTCCCCCGCATGAGAAATGATCATAGGTTTAACATGAGTCTGCACGCTGTCACACCATCTAAAGGTGAGAGATTCTTATCAAAGACAATCAGAGGTCCTGTTACAGTTCACAAAACAGAAATAGACAATTCCACACAGAAGGATGAATCTAACAAGACAAGTGACAACTTCAACAGACAATATCCAATACATAAAAAGCCACATCCCCTCAGAAAGTGTAGAGGATTTAGGGAAGAGGCCTTGCAGGAACGGAAAGCTTACCTTCGAGAGAATTCCATATGCTTTAGATGCTGCTCCTCAACTACACACCAGGCAAAGGACTGTAAGGCGTTAATCCAGTGCTCTGAATGCAATAGCGACAATCATATAGCTGCTTTTCACTATGGCCCAGCCCCCTGATCAAAAAAGGAAGATAACAGCCCCTCTACAAGCTATGGCGGGGAGCAAGAAGAGTTGCCTCCCTCCCCAATCGCTACATCCACCTGCACAGAAGTGTGAGGAGATCACAACAGTGGAAAGTCCTGCTCAAAGATCTGCCTGGTAAATGTGTACCTGAAAGGTGAGCCTCAGAACAAACAAAGGGTTTATGCAATCATAGATGATCAGAGTAATCGATCTCTGGTGAGATAGGCCTTCTTCAAGATGTTTAATGTTGCAGACAATGCAGCACCTTACACACTTAGGACGTGTGCAGGTGTCACGGAGGCTGAAGGGCGTAGAACTGAAGGATTTATAGTGGAGTCCTTTGATGAAAAGACATGCATATAGCCTATATGCATATATCTTCCATCACTGATTGAATGCAACCTCATCCCAAACAACAGAGCAGATTCAGCAGATTCAGCAGATTCAGCAAATGTTCCATTCCTTCGTGGTCACAAAAGAGCATCAGAACTTTCCACCCTTCTTTTGGTATGACAACAACGACTTAAACAACAAGGTACTAGAGTACCAGATGCGAGTACATGTTTTTGGTAATGGCCCGTCACCAGCAGTTGCCATATATGGGTACAGGAGAGCTGCCTTCTCCGGTGAAAAAGACTATGGACCAGAGGGGCAAGGCACTTTGTGGAAAGGAACTTTTATGTGGATGATGGCCTTACTTCGCTCCCCACAGAAGAGAAAGCCATCAAGCTGCTCAAGGCCACCCAGGAAATGCTGGCTCTGTCTAATCTACATCTTCACAAGATTGCCTCCAACAAAGTGGAAGTCATGAAAGCATTTCCTCCAGAGGACCTTGCAAAGGAGTTAAAGAATCTATCTGAGCACTGGCCTCCCACCAGTTCACAGAAGTTTGGGGGTGAGCTGGGATTTGTCTGAGGATATGTTCATTTTCCAGGTTGCAGACCAGGTGAGACCTTACACCAGACGTGTTCTGTCAACGATTAACAGTTTGTTTGACCCACTTGGGTTTGCTGCACCTGTCGTCCTTCAGGGAATACTGAGCCCTTACCACAGGGTCTTGTGACTGGGATGCACATGTGCCTGATGAGAAATATAAGGAATGGAAGGTTTGGAGAGATTCATTAAAAGAGCTTGAGTATGTCAAAATTTCCCACACATATGCTACTATCTCTTTCTGTCAAACACCATGCAAAGAGATGTGTGTCTTCTGTGATGCTTCCACAAGTGCTATTGCAGCTGTTGCTTACATCAGGGTTACCAATATGAGCGGTAATGTAGAAGTTGGCTTCATGTTTGGTAAGGCTAAACTAGCTCCCTGACCTGATATCTCTGTCCCCAGACTTGAGCTGTGTGCAGCTGTTCTAGCTGTGGAAATAGCTGAAACCATTGAAGATGAGATGGACACCAAGCTGGATGCTATAACATTCTATTCTGACAGTAAGGTCGTCTTAGGCTACATTTGTAATGAATCCAGGAAATTCTATGTGTATGTCAACAACAGAGTGCAAAAAATACGGAAATCTACACGCCCTGGGCAGTGGAAATACGTACCTACCGATCAAAACCCTGCCGACCATGCCACAAGATCAGTTTCGGCAGCTAACCTTCCCTGTAGCTTCCCTGTGGTTGACTGGTCCAACATTCTTGACAAAAACAAGACCGTCTGAAACTCACATGGGTCTCTTCAGTATCATAGACCCAGATGTAGACACTGAAGTACGTCCCCAAGTCACTTCTTGTGCTACACATACTTCAAGAAAGGAATTAAACCCTGAACGGTTTGAAAGATTCTCAAGCTGGCGATCACTGACTCATGCAATAGCAAGACTTGTGCACATAACCCACTCCTTCAAGCAGGATAGTAACAAGAGTACTTGCAGGGGCTGGCATATATGTGACATGCCCTGCTCAGTTCAAGATCTAGAAAAGGCCAAGTCTGTTATCATCCACAAGCCTCCTCAGAGGAATCGAAATGCCTTCAAGCAGGCACAGCGATTTCTACAACATAATCGCACTCAATTTAACACTTAATCAACAACACTTAATCTTATGTCTTGGTACTCTATTTAAAAAGGATTTATGAATTTGCACTTACCTTCGTCTGATATAAATCTCTGAAAACACAGGACGTTGCCAGCGCACGCAGTAACTGAAGGCAGTGGGCTAGAAAATACGTTTCAGAAAAAAAATATGGCACTAAAAAACTTTGCTGTTAAAGGGATAGTTCACTTTGAAATAAATTTTTGATATGTTTTAGCTTACCTCAAGGGCATCCAAGATGTATGTGCTTTTGTGTCCGCAGAAGTTTCAATTTTGATATTTTTAGGTCAAACCGTTCTTGTCTGTCAGTCATATAATGCAGGTCTATGGTCACCACCTATATGACTGACAGACAAGAACGGTTTGACCTAAAAATATCAAAATTGAAACTTCTGCGGAAACAAAGACACCTACATCTTGGATGCCCTTGAGGTAAGCTAAAACATATCAAAAAATTATTTCAAAGTGAACTATCCCTTTCATTGTGTTATGGTAAACATGTTATTTACAATGATTTTATGAATTCACACTTACCTTCATCTGATGTAAATTTCACAGAAAATAATAATTCTTTATTTTCTTCATTCTTAAGTTTTTTGCTGCCAAATGAGCATTAAACAGACCTGTTTAATTTTTGATGCCAAAACTTGCTATTTTAAGTAATGTTAAGTTATGATAACTTGATTTCTTTATTAAAGACAACATTGGGGTTTAGAGAGAGAAATCCCAACATAGTGTCAGCCCAGATCCGGCCCAGATGTGGTACACATGGAGTCCACACAGCCCAGATGTGGACCGGATCTGGGCCACCACCATGTTGCTGTCTGGGGAATCATAGGAAAACACTCTCAATACAAAACGCCAACAGCATCTCTCTTCTGCATCAGCATCCACGCTGTATTTCAAAGGACGCTTTTCTTTCCTCTGCCAAGACTTAAAATGTATGTTTACCTTATATTGATTACATGGCTACTCAAGGAAATTTGTTAATTACTTAAGTCACTCAATTCGCACAAGTTTGTTTCTTTGTGACATACATTCTACACTCAATGCAAGATGCAATGAATGACAATAATTGTGCATCACCACTTAACAGCCAAATTCCATGAATACTGAATTTACACTGAGCTTGATATGAAGGCCAAAGTGTAAATTCAGTAATCATTGAATTGTTTCTAAACGACGATTTTCACCTGGATAATCTCGAGTGAGTGTAAGTGTGATGATCATCTGCTAAATGAGCAACAACGACCACAATTCACTCCTTCAGTCAGTGAAGCTCCCACAGCCGTTCATGAGAGTTTAATTGCTGGGGAATATTCCCATCTTCCCACAGGAGAAGAAGAAGCAAGCAGGAGAAATTACTCCAGGAGAAACTACGGACATACTATTGTAAAGATGGAGATTAAGGAAGAACCCTGCAGAATAAAAGATGAAGATACAGAGGAACAAATAGGTTGGTGTTTTCCTTCATTCTCTTTAATGACTGATGAGGAACATTACGATGAAAATTGACTTATAATAATAACATCTAAATCTAGATACTAGTAGACTCAGGAGTAAACTGGATTTGTGCTAAATTGAGATTTTGAATAATGCTTATTTTTGTTTCTTACGTATCCTTTTATTGAATTATGGGAATTTCATTTGTTTATTTTAGATATGAGGGAAGTGAATGAAGACAAACAGCATCAGTTTCAAAAAACACATTATTTCACAAATGAAGATGGAAATGCAGTCGTTTCAAAGACTGAAGAGAATTTCACACAGAAACAAGCTGGAAAATCTGGAGTCAAAGGATCTTTAACCTGTTCTGAGTGTGGAAAGAGTTTCGTATCTAAATCAACCCTGAACAAACACATGAAGATTCACACTGGAGAAAGGCCTTATACATGCACTCAGTGTGGAAAGAGTTTCATAGTTAAAACAAACCTTAACCAACACATGAAAATTCACACTGGAGAGAAATCATTCACATGCTCTCAGTGTGGAAAGATTTTCAGTCAAAAAGGACACCTTAAGACACACATGATGATTCACACTGGAGAGAAACCATTCACATGCTCTCAGTGTGGAAAGAGTTTCACTCAGAAAGGCTCTCTCAAATATCATCTGCACCTTCACTCTGGATTGAGATCATTCAGCTGTGATCAGTGTGATAAAACATTTGTTTTTGAATCCGGCTTAAGAGCACACCTTAATGTTCATTCTGCTGCGAAAACTCACTTTTGTTATGTTTGTGGAAAGAGTTTTTCACATCTTGGATCTTTAAAAGCGCATGAGCGTATTCATACTGGTGTGAGACCTTATATGTGCTTTGACTGTGGAAAGACCTGCACTTCATCCAGCAACTTAAAATCACACCAGAGAGTTCATACTGGAGAGAAACTGTACAAGTGCTCTTCATGTGAGAAGAGTTTCAGCCATTCATCTACTCAACTGAAACATAAGAAAAAGCATTGCCTGAAGGTGTCCAAGTGAGCAAAGTTCACTTCCATAACTTGTAAATAAGCAAAAGATGGAATTACATTTAATACAGTAATTGAATCTAAAATTAGTATTGAAGTTTGATAAGGGGAACAGGTTGCACTGCATTGTAAGTGTTGCATGTTTTGTTCTTCCGACACCCGTATTGATCCTCTGTTGTGTTGCGCATGCACAGTAAACACTGAGTGTTACTGTATACAAGATGAACTGAACAGTAAAGCAACAATGTGAAAATATTCGTGTCAGTGTCATCGCTCATGCAGTGCATGGTCATCTCATACAGGTGGAACAAGAATAATAGTTCAGAAAACTTTCATTATTTTCATTGAAGATACAGTTAAAATTCTAAGAATGACATAATTCTACTCTTACTCCAGTTCAGTGATGGTTAATTTAATTTCCATTGTAAAAATCATTAGTTATTAATTTAGTTCATTTATCTATAAAGCCGCTCTGGAGAAAACAGTGATGTCATCGTCCAGCTAAGTTCAGCTCTCTTTAACTTCACTTATCTTTCACCCTTTAGTTGTGTGTGAGTCCCTCAGTTGTCCTCGGTGTGAATAGATATCTATAGACCGATCTCAAATCTTCCTTTCATAGGCAAGATCATTGAAAAAGTTGTCTTCAATCAGCTGAACAAATTCCTAATCTCGAATGGATACTTCGACAATTTTCAATCTGGTTTCCGATCGCATCACAGCACAGAGACAGCGCTCATAAAGATAATAAACGATATTCGCTTAAATACTGATACAGGCAAATTATCAGTGCTGGTACTACTCGACCTCAGTGCTGCATTTGACACTGTCGATCACGACATACTTCTTGACAGGCTGGAAAACTGGGTGGGGCTTTCTGGGATAGTCCTAAAATGGTTCAGGTCATACTTAGAAGGGAGAGGTTATTATGTGAGTATAGGAGACCAGAAGTCTGAGTGGACATCCATGACTTGCGGAGTCCCTCAAGGCTCAATTCTTGCACCACTCCTATTCAACCTGTATATGCTCCCAATGAGCCAAATAATGAGAAAGAACAAAATTGCTTACCACAGCTATGCAGACGACACACAGCTCTACTGAGCCCTATCGCCTAACGACTACAGCCCCATTGACTCCCTGTGCCAATGCATTGATGAAGTCAACGGTTGGATGTGCCAAAACTTTCTTCAGTTAAACAAAGACAAAACTGAAGTCATTGCGTTTGGAAACAAAGAGGAAGTTCTCAAGGTGAATGCATACCTTGACGCTAGGGGTCTAACAACTAAAAATCAAGTCAGGAATCTTGGTGTGTCTCTAGAGTCAGACCTTAGTTTCAGTAGTCATGTCAAAGCAATAACTAAATCAGCATACTATCATCTGAAAAATATTGCAAGAATTAGATGCTTTGTTTCCAATCAAGACTTAGAGAAACTTGTGCATGCTTTTATCACCAGCAGGGTGGATTATTGTAATGGACTCCTCACTGGCCTTCCTAAAAAGACCATAAGACAGTTGCAGCTCATACAGAACGCTGCTGCCAGGATCCTGAGCAGAACCAGAAAATATGAACATATCACACCAGTCCTCAGGTCTTTACACTGGCTCCCAGTTACATTTAGGATTGATTTTAAAGTATTATTACTGGTATATAAATCATTCAATGGGCTAGGACCTCAATATATTGCAGATATGCTCACTGAATATAAACCTAACAGATCACTCAGATCATTAGGATCACATCAGCTAGAAATACCAAGGGTTCGCTCTAAGCATGGAGAGTCTGCTTTTAGCTATTATGCCAGCCGCAGTTGGAACCAGCTTCCAGAGGAGATCAGATGTGCTCCTACAGTAGTCACTTTCAAATCCAGACTCAAAACACATCTGTTTAGCTATGCATTTACTGAATGAGCACTGTGCCACTGTCCGTCCGACTGTTTTTACTGTACTGGTTTTGTCTTTGTTTGTTTTCTAATTTCTAATTTATTTATTTTTATAATCTCTGGAAGAGATTTTGAAGGAGAGCGGGAGAGTCTTCACTCCGATGAGGCGAGTGAAGGAGTAAGTTATTGTTGCGGCAAATTGTCTGCTGTCACGCCTCTCGTCACACGGGAATGAACGCCAGGTGAAGCTGGTTTCAATCAGCGTGGCACGCGCCTTGGGTTTGAAATAGTGCTCGCGCTGCTCATTTCATTGTGTACTGTGAGCAGCGTTGGCGCAGTGGAAACGTTGGATAACAAACTTTGATTTTAAACTGCACGGGATTGCTTTGCATCTGAAGAGACTGCCGGTAAGAGGAAATTCGTCTATGTGTTGCGCAATCTATGCACTAACACCTGCGTGGGGTGGCTTCATGTAAATGTGCATGTGATGGACTTGGGTTACCGGGTTGTTTATAATTGTTATCTGATTAAGTCTGAGTCTAAACGTGCAGTAGTGGTAACGGTAATTTTAAAAAGGTATGTTAAGAAATTCAGATAGTCAATCTGTTTAAATTAATTCTGTCTAAAATTCACTGTATTAAAATGTGTAATTCATTTGTTAAAATATTTATTATGGTAAACGTAGTTAAATTCTCCTTTACTGAAAATGCAAATCTGGTGATAAAAGCTATCTTTTTAAGCGTATTTGCTGTAGTGTAAAATAGTAAAAAGAAATGGTATGGTGCTAATGCTTACCAGATTAAAACCAGTATAAACAGTGTGTGTACAGTGTGAAATTTTAGTGATTAAATTTATGTGCATTGCTGTTTACTTGAGCTTTGTTGTAAATATTTACACTGGTTTGTTGTGTGGTTTTAAAGGTTTTTCACCTACTGAAATTCTACAATAAATTGAGAAAAGGCAAAATTACATCTCATTCTTAAGAGTGGAATCCAGTGTTCAATTCAGAAGTGAGAAGCCCCTTTCAAGTGTGGGACCTGTGCAGCTCAAAACACTTGACAGTGAAAAACCGCCTTGAGGTTCCGTCCCCAACGCTCCAGACCCAAACGCTCCAGGCCCCAACGCTCCAACACTCCAGACCCAAACGCTCCAAACGCTCCAGGCCCCAACGCTCCAAACGCTCCAGGCCCCAACGTTCCAAACGCTCCAGGCCCCAACGCTCCAAACGCTCCAGGCCCCAACGCTCCAAACGCTCCAGGCCCCAACGCTCCAAACGTTCCAGGCCTTAACGCTCCAAACGCTCCAGGCTCCAAACGCTCCAGGCCCCAACAGAATCATGGCGGAATCAAGGACTCTGCAGCAATTGAAAACCGAGAGAACAACCGCTAAAAGACTGTTTTCTCGACTGGCTAACACGATTGTCAGATCATGTAAGAGTATGTCGGCGGAAGAACTCAGGGAGGCCTTAAGTAAGTTTACACTGGAATCGGACAAGGTAATTGAAGTAAACGAGGAGTTGGAAGCTGCCTACGTTGAGGCGTGGAATGGAGAGGAAGAGTCCACTGCAGCGGATGAGCAAAGGGCAGACATCAAAAGGACAACACAAGAGTGTGAACAGAAGCTGGAGGAGGTGGAGGGTATTATACAAAAAGCCCTTTGGGGAAGGTTTGGCGATCCTCAACTTTCCCTGGCGTTAGAAGTGGCTGAAGAGGAATGTAAGCGCCTTTCAGCTGTCCAGCCTGATTTAAAGCTAGACGTGTATGACTTTATGCTCAGACACCTGGAAGGACGAGTTAAAGCTGCGAAGGAAGCTAGTTGCCAGTGGTGCCGGTGGGCCCCTCCCGAGGAGCAGAAGGTTTTTCAGCGTCGAATGAGGGAGCTGGAGATCTGCGTGCCTAGATTGATCTCAGGGAGGGCTGTCCTAATGCAGGCAAAGAGTGAACAAGAGGGGCAACCTGTCACCACCCACTATCCCCAAGTGGCTAGCATCAAATTGAGGCCGACTGCGCTCCCAAAATTTGATGGAAACAAGCGGAACTTCCACCGCTGGAGAAAGGATTGGGAGGCGCTCCAGAAGCAAGGAGAGCCTACTGGTTCCAAAGAGGTTAGGAAGTTTCAGCTGCTGGACAGTCTTGAGGAGAAAGTGGTGGCAGATCTTCGCCTCTCAAACTATGGGACAGCAGATGAGATCTTCCAGATTCTAGAAAACCGCTTTGGAAATAAGACCAAAATAGCTCTGGAGATCATTGATGAGTTACAATCGTTACTTCCAGTAAAGAGCCATCAGCCCAGGAAGATTGTGGATTTAATACAGATGGTCGAGAAGGCTCTACACGACTTGAGCGAGCTGGGAGATACAAGAGCTCTAAAAAATCCCCTTGTCACGAAGTCACTGGAGAGTCAAGTCAAGTCAGTCAAGTCATCTTCATTTATATAGCGCTTTTAACAATGAATTGTTTCAAAGCAGCTTTACAGAGATAAACATATAATTTAAGGTAACAGATTGTTTTGGCGTTATAGCGGTTCTTGAATAATGTTACTTCCAGCTAAAGTTAACTTTGATTGATTCACCTCCGTCGAAAGGATCAGACTTTAAACGCGAACCTGTGATTAACGCTGACGGCGTTCACATGCTCATTCAGAATTCTATAGTTATGTGCTTTTTAAAATATGTGCGCAGGTTTGTAATTCATACAACCCAGCCTAAACAAACTACTTTTCTTGCCTATAAATTTTGATACAGAATTTTGTTTTATTTTATCACTTCGGGGTACGCGAATTCACAGCGCTTTATCTGTAGAGTGGGAAAGGGATCCTCCATAGGGAGAGGATAGTGGATACTTCAGCACTGCATTGTCATCGGGTCCAGGCGAATCTCCTTCGTCAGATCTGGACACGGCCTGGATCCGGCAGGCTGCGGGAAAACCTCGGGATAAACAAAGACACTAATATTAGCGTAGATGCCATTCTTCTTATGATGTAGCGAGTACATCAAGATTTAAGGGAAGTGTTCCCAGTTCCGGCTGACCTAATCTATGCAGCCTAACATTGAATTTATAGAAGTCTATAATGTATTATGTGTATGCTAGGTCAAAGAGATGTGTTTTTAGTCTAGCTTTGAACTGACAGAGTGTGTCTGCTTCCCGGACAATGGTAGGAAGACTGTTCCAAAGTTTTGGTGCTAAATAGGAAAAGGATCTACCGCCAGCAGTCGATTTAGATATTCTAGGTATTATCA